TGGCTGTTTGTTTAATCTTTTTTTATCTTTGTCAAACTGAAAAAATTGGATTCATTGCTTGTGGAAAAAATATCTTCCAGTGGAATGGCTACTGTTAGTGGAAGGGAAGTAGTGGAATAGCATCCCAGATTGCAACTAGCTATAAGGTTTATATTTAAAAAGTCAAATATTCAGCCAGGAAATATTTTGAATCCTATGTAAAAAGGAGAAATGGGCTTTTGATCTCAGAGCAATTGATGTAAAGGCCTTTCTTACAAAGGTAGTATGTACTGTAGAAGGAAGGGTGGCCTAAAGCAGGAGTTTCATTTTTTCAGCCCATGGAACCTGTTAATGGAAAGCCATTCCTAGAAACCCTCATCAAAAGACAAAGCTGTACTGACAAAAAAATGGCTATGTGGCAGTGTACTTTTCCTTGTCCTTGGCGCCCATGGAAATTCTCAAACTTTTAGGTCATGGTTGTCCCAAGGCTGTTTTTTCTAAAAGGCAACTGGACTTTCTTAGTTTTTTGTTTGAAAAGGTTTCCCTCCTTATCCAAAAAACTTCTTCAATTTCTTCAAGTTTCTTCAAGAATTGAAGAAGCTTCTTGGATGAAAAGCAAAACATTTTCAAATAAAAACCCAAGAAAATCCAGTTGCCTTTTGGAAAAAACACCTGTGGGTTTTCCCTTTAGTCTTTCACTCAGCTGCATCAAGTTCTTACAGAATCTCATGTTTCCATGGAACACAGTTTGAAGAACTCTGGTCTAGGCAGCTTCTGCTGTTCAAATTGTTCAGGTGGGCTATACGGCAGCAACCTTTAGCCATGGTCATCCTGCCCATTCAATTGTATTTGATAATAATGGGAAGTAAAATCTCTATGTTTAAAGAACTTTAGAGTTTCAAAGGCACTTTAGTCAACTCTGTGTTTCTTAAGTTCTATTAATTTTCATTCATATTAGTTTTGTCCTCAGATATGTCTGTCATGGATTGGAATACACCAAGCCAGATGACCGTAATTCTATATAAGCATTCTGTTCTCTAACCCAGGTAATTTAATGCAATTTGCTACTAACAATGGTTTAATTTTTTGACTCTCAAGAGACAAATCATTCACTCTGAAAGTAAAAATTTATTGCAAAATCTATGATTTTCATTCCAACATTTTAATACAATGGATGATATTTATTTGTTCTCTTAGGATGTTTTAGTAACAGAAGCCATCAATAATACTTTTGTTTCCATCTTCCACTGTAATGGTGTGTTGAAATAGGTATAAGGGTGCAACGAAAGGGTGAAATTAAAGTCAATGGTTCACAAGCCAAAGTCTTTATTCCTCTTCCTTCCAGAACACTACAATTTAGAATTTCACACTAATATGTCAAAAACTTGGAAATTACTGTTGAATCCTCTTTCACATAATAAAGAACAAATGTACACTATCCTTAATTAGATCTTATAAAATGTAAATAGGAAATAAGAGCATTTTGTAACTTGAAGTTTCTTTTTCCTGAGTTTTTTTCTAAAGGGATATACGAAGACATTGAGTTTTCTAACATAGGAACGTGTTAAATTTTTCTCAAGTATATAAGGGTCATAGATGGTTAAATGCCTATTATGCATTATATCATTCTATTTCCAAGATTTGCTTCTCTGTGCTATGGTTAGGAAACTATCAATGATTTTGGAAATCTATAGCTGCAATGAAAATAAAGGATACACAACTCAAGCATTTAAAAAGGACTTCCAGTTAATGGGCTTTAGACAGATACAAACCATTTCTTCCCTTGCCAAGGAAACTACAGGGATTCTTCTAGTCAGTCTCCAAGAATTTAGAATTGCAGCCAGTGAGAAGAGACAGACAAATGACCTAGAGCCAGAGAACTATTCACTAATTCAGAGTAATCAGACACATCTTGGACTGGTTTGAGTTATAACATAAGGTGGATTTATTTCAAATGTTTGAATCCTGCACTATACAGTGTTATTCCAGCTGCCATTGAATATGTAGTTATGCTTAACTGCATTTTTTTACTCCTAATTGCTGACCTCAGAATAGTGACATGAACTTGCTTTTTCTGCAAACATATATGCTGTTTGCATGGAACAATGAACCCCAAATCAGTCAGCTACACTGTATATGTATATATATAAAAGTGAAAATCACTCACACCGTAATCATGAAATCTCCAGAACTGTAAAGCCTACAAACTTGAAATTTGCCAGGTATGTTCCTCTTGGCTTCTAGGTGCTCACTGAGAAAGGATTTTTTGAAATGACCATCAGAGCATTAGTATTTCCTATATTATGATTAACATGCTCTGATGCTAAGGAGTTCTACTCCCCCCTACCCACCTGAAAAGAAATCTGTTCCAAATGCAAAACACAAGCAGAGGAGTTTCACTTTCAGCTTTACTTTCACAGCAGCAACCAGGGGATAGGATGGGGAGGCTTCTGTGAAGCAAGCCTGAGGGAGAGAAGGGGATAGGATAGGATAGGGTTCTGTGGGTCAAGGCTGAGGGAGAGAAGGGGAGAGGAGAGACTGATTGGAACTACTCATTAATTTTCAAGTTGTGTCAATTTCTCAAGCCCGATCACATAGTTTCGTAGTGAAGCACGTGTATCCAGATAATACTGTATATACACATACTAGTGCCGTGATGGCACGCGGAGCCATATCAGTGGACACGGAAACGTTGCCCTAGTTCAGCTCTGGTGGGACTGAAAGTCAGGAAATGGTCCGTTTTCAGCTTCCAGAGGGCCTCCAGGAGGGTGGGGAAAGCCGTTTTTGCTCTCCCCAAGCTCCAAGAAAGCCCCTGGAGCCTGGGGAGGGCAAAAAACGGGCCTACTGGGCCCACCGTGCCATCGCGTGCCAAAAGCGGGGGAGCACGGGAGAATTGCGCACGCATGCGCAGGGGGTGGGGTGCATTATGGGTGTGGGCATGCACGCATGTGACCCCCCCGCTCCCCCCACTTTTGGTACGCAAAGACAAAAAGGTTAACATCACTACTAATATATATGCCTAGTATATTTTGCAAATGGAATCTTTGTAATTAACTTATAGTTTAGGGCAGTAATGGCAATTCTTTCAGGCATGGCAGTTAGGAAAATGCCTAACTTGATTTGGCTGGCATATCAATCTCCCGCCAATCAAGATAAACAATTTTCTATCTTATCCCAAAGGTGCTTTTTTCCAGAGGCAACTGGACTTTCTGGTTTTTCTTTGAAGATGTTTCGCTTCTCATCCAGAGCTGAAGAAGTTTCTTGGATGAGAAGCGAAACATCTTCAAAGGAAAACCAGAAAGTCCAGTTGCCTCTGGAAAAAAGCACCTTTGGGACAACCATGACCTGGATGACTGAGAATCTCCCTAGACAATTTTCTATCTCCCTGCCATCTAGGCCACCCTGAACAGTGGCACTCAGTGGCAGCACTGAGGCTGGGCCTGAAGTTGAGGACCAGGCTTTGATTTCAGCCCAAGTGCCACCACCAGGTACACAAGCCTTGGGGAATGGTGCAAATGCCCCCGTGGCCCAGTGGTTCCCAGGTTATGCTGTGCTCCACTTATCTTCAGGCAGTGTGCTCTTAAACTGTGGAAAGCATGCTGTGTTCCCATGTGATTTTCAGAGGGTCCAGAGAATAAGGCCCTCTCACACAACTTCTGGAGGCTGCATGAGAGTATACCTCATTCTTGTGCAGCCTCTAAAAATGGCATGAAAAAAGGGCATGCTATCAAGAATAGTTGGGTGTTAGTGAATGCTGGTGTATCACCAAAAATGTTGTGGCTTGTGACCTTTGACATGCATGTCATAGATTTACCATCACTGGATTAGTGTGTCATATGTACCGAAGTAATTCCTCCATTAACATTTATCTAAAATCATAGACCTAAAAATCTTGAAGTAATCCATATATTTTACTCATCTAAAACAAACAGATAATTCTTGGATTATTTCATTGTTTCTGCTAAGTATCTTTGGTATTTGCTAATACAGCAAAGAATTTTTTTGCATTCTGTATGCATTGTTACTTTCAATATAATCCCAACTTATCTTGCTATTCCCCTCTGTATTTGCAAAATGCATGTTTTTACTGTCTGCTTTTCTGTCCCTGTTAGATCTCTGATTAATCATCATTTAAACAAATGCACTTTATCTGAAATGCCTGATCAGTCTCTGAAAGGCCCCTGAGCATTTTTAAATATTGCACTTCTATAAGTTTTTAAAATTGTATTTTAAAAATAAAACTTTGCTGTTTTGCTATAAATGGCAAAATGATCAAAGGGTTTATTAAATCCATGTTATACCATAGCCAGATAAGCACAGGATACGTTATGACCAAAGAATTATAGATATTGCTGATTTATAGCTGCACAGTATTAAATCTAATTGAATGAAAGTGATAGAACATGTACTAATTTCTGCAACTGTGAATATCTGTATAATACAACTAAAATCAAAGTTATAGTTTCTAAAAATATAAAACATGCTCATTTACCACTGAAATACTATAAATTGAATTTGAGGGCTTATGGAGTGGGAAGTTACACAGATCAGTGGCTAATGTATATGGATTCTGGTAGATTAATAGAACATATAGTATATTTTATCAACCTTGATGATAGAAAGAGTTCTACTATATCTAGTTAGATCTCATCTGATTTCCACTAGAGATATGTAAGATATGTAAGACAGACACAGTGTAAAATCAGTGTTCCAGTTTCAAACATTATCATTTGTTCTTTATATAACAACTATTTCTGAACTTGAAAAAAAATTAAGCTGTCATCAAAATTAGAGCCAGTTTGGTGCAGTAGTTAAGGCTAGAAACCAGGAGACTGTGAAGTCTAGTCCTGACAATGACTTTGAGTCTGTTACGTCTCTTAGACCAACCCACCTCATAGGGTTGTTATGAGGAAAAGAGGAAGAAGGTGTATTATGTATGTTCACTGTCTTGAATTATTTATAAAGGTGAGATAAAAATCTAATAAAATCAGATGCCATGTAACTCAATAAGAAGCATCAGAGAGGTTTGAGCTAGATTTTATTTCACAATTGCTCTGTGCTATTATCCTCCTTCAGAGAAGACAGCAACTTTCTTGGCCATGAAATCAACCAACCAGAATATGACGTAGTGCAATGTAATAATGCCAATTATAACTTCCAATAAATATATGGCTCAATGGGTACCTTGCAAAATGACGGGATGCTTTTAGATATGGCCTTTATTTTGCAATTACCTTGTTCATTAAGAGAATAAAAAGAAGTCTACGGTCCATATAATCACGTTTTTCATTGATAAGTGTCCTATATTTTTTCACTGTAGCTTCCATTTACTTTTATTAATAGAAAAATGTCTACGAAGGAGGGAAAAATGAAAGCGGTCATCAGTCTGGAAGCATCCATGGATACAAGTCCAGTTGGTGGATAGGTCACAGAGAGACAGGTGTTATACCACTCTTGAAAAACAGAAGAGGATTTCTCTGATCTCCAATTCTTAGATCTTCCCTTCAGGGGAGATTGTTCCTGGGAAGGGCTTTCTAGGATATATTAAAATCAACCTAGTTAAGAAAGTCTGAAATTATTCCGTGTCAAGCTGGAACAGAGGTGATTAAAAGTATCTCATATACATGGCTAAAAGATATAGCCTCTGGCCCAGAAATTAAATTCTCTAAGTAAGTAAAACTATGACCTATGCCCCTATCCAGCTATAGACTGGCACTCCAAATTCATTTCCAGAAGAATTCAGAACGTTTGAAATACCAGATGTGGATTGCTGAACAGTTGCAATTTCTGATGCATTTTGACTCAGCTGTGCATAGACAAATTCCAAAGTCAATGAAGCAGAAATCCATAGATTCTTCCAGTGCCAGCTCCCTCCAGGAACATTAGAAAGCCATACTACTTTTCCACGTTCTTGTTTTTCTTATTTCTGAACTCATAGGAGGGAACACAACTCCTTAATGCCCTCAAGGAAAAGGAATGGGTCATCAGGTCAGTTCTAGAGTAAGTTGGGAAGTGCATTCATCTCCTTCAGGCTAGAACTGCCATCTAAACTGAATTCACTGGATTATAATCTTGTCAGAAATCCATGATGCTTTCAGTCTGTTCTCCGAATAAACCATATCTCATTGCGACGATTGGGTATACTAGGGTTCTGATATGCAGCCACCAAGTACGTTTCACGGAGCACATTATCTGTCGAGCCCAGTAACTCCCAAAGAAGGTGAATCTCTCGCAGGATTGTCTCCTCAGTAGTTGGCCCGTAAAACTCCCTTTACAGAAAGTTAACAACAAAACAATAACAAGAAAACATAAATATATTGTATTTAATGTCTTATTCCCTTTCCATCTATCCACCATTCACCTACCCATCTATCTATCCATCAATCAGTGCATGGCCCCTAATCTTTTTTAAAATATGGGGAAAACTGGCCTAAGAAAGAGCCAGCCTCTCCACAAGATCCTTTCCCTTTTCCATTATATAACCAGAGGCATATTTTCTTTTACTTAGAAACTATTTTCCCAGGCATGCATACTTTTTTTCCTACCTAAGAATAAAAAGCAAGTTGATTCCTGCTCTACTTAAAAGGCTGTTCGCATCTAAAGCATAACCCAAGTCCATCAGGACTCACCTGGTGATAACCTGAAGTGGTGATCTTTCTAGGATTTGGATTTCTGGATCCATGGGGAGAGGAGGATTAAGCTGAAATTCCTGAGGAAGATAATAAGCAGTGATGACTTCTTGGACCAATTCAGTACCCTCCTTATTCAGGTGGATCTCGTTAATCACTGGTACTGTCATCTCCAAGTGCCGGCCTGGATAAAGATACAGGTAGAAATACCAGTTATGAAAGTAAACCTAGGGAAATCCATTCCTTGTTTTGCCAAACCCCATTAATCCTGGTCATGTAAACTTCTACATCTCCCCATGGCACTTGCTCGTACATACCTAGGGAATTCTCTTTGCAGATGTATCTTATAAGTTTCATGAAACCCAATGAGATGCTCTGCTCATACTTGGGTTCTCCTTTGGTGATGCATGCCCATTTCCCAGCAGGGTATAGGCGTTCCTCATATGTTGTTTCCTCGCACTGAACCAAGAAGGAAGAGAAGTGATTTACTGCCGGGGAAGAAATGTCAACAGTGTAACAAAGCTTATGAGTTTGTAAATCTAGATAATTACATTATTGGAGTAAAATTTGATAACTTTACAGATGGAAATATTGTTATTTGAAGAAAAGCTGCTTTTTCACATTAAAAAAATAAATACAAAATTGGGGAAATATTTAACTATATGTAATGTTAATATTCCAATACACATTACTGATGTAAATGTTTTAAGTAAAATCTTCTTGTGTTTGTGTGCACGTGTGTTTGCGTATATGTGTGTTTATCCATTTTACTGTGCATATTAAATGCAAAATATATCTTTCCTAATCATTTTAATTTTTATCAGTATAAGCTGAAATTACAAAGCATCTATAAGTAGAGACAACTTATCTTTTGTTTTTCATTAGTCCCTTTTAAAACGTTTCTGAGGAGGACATGCTTGGCAATAATCTACACTACACATTTGGTCCAGAAGAATCCCAAAAGGCACCATGTGTTCTTAATATAAACAGACTTAAGCAATGTTAACACAGGCTACAAATATAACTGTTTTAAAAACATTGCCATCATTTAAACTGAAATACTAACCAGTAAAAAAGTGGATTAATGGGAAAGAGTATAATGCAACTCCTACCCACCATCTTTTGGGGTACAATTCTAATAAAACTTTTCAAATGGTCAAGCAATTGACAGGATTTGAATTCTGAAAATTATTAGGCTGTCTTACTCTGGAATAATTTTCATGGTAGGTTATTTAGGCTGTAGTTCTCTACTGTTTTATTGCAGGTGATGAGGTTTACTTTTGAGTAGAAATATAATAGGCTGTACCCTCAAAATCACATCCAAAAGACAAATTTGGTAGAAACTTAATGATGGCTAAAACTATAGTTTGGGTGAAATCATGGGCACTTAAGGAAACCAGAAATATTGTATGATTTTATTCTACAATTCTTTCTCAATATATCCAAAAATATGACAGTCGGCTGTATGCATACAGTATGTTACGTTATTCAGAAACAGCAGTCTAATCCTGTTAGGCAATAAATATTTACATGAATATGATTGCTTACTTTCTCATGCGGTGATAAAACAGTGTAAGGCACAGGCTCTCGCACTTGGTTATGGTGAGTCATCTGTACTATTGGACCTGCCATGTCTATTGAAACAGAGTAAATTGGGAAAAGTTAACTTTAAGCATGAAAGCATTTGTACACAACTGCATTTCCAAATAACCTTCTACTACTGTACTTTTATTTATTGTGAGTACTCCACTGTGAAAAGTAGTGCACAGGTGGCTCTTTGTATTTGTGGTCCTCCATTTGTTATGCCTCCAACTATGCATAACGAAGTGCTTGAGACTTTGAGGCTCTGGGAATTGGGGAGGAGGGGGTTGTGATAAGTTATAGAGACAGAAAAAATGCTAAAAAAAAACCCTGTGCGGCACAGTAGAAATAAGCATGCTGGACTTTGTCTATCTCAGATTGTCCATTCTTCTTTACTTGAGTGCTGGAGTGGCAACCGCGAAAGTCGAATAAAGAAATACTGGAGTTCCTTTATTCCATTCTAGAGTTCACAGCACTATTTCTCTTGGTCTTTGGTCTGCAGCAACAAAAATCAATCTTTTCTTCTTCAAAGTAATTAAAGAGTAGTAGTAGTAGTAGTACTAATTTTTAGTGTATACAGTGTTTAGTGCTTATAGCTAAACACAATACAGGTACATAATATTGTATAGGATTATTTAGCACCAATGATGTTTTCTGATGACAACTCCACAGCTGTGCTGATAGCTATAATTACCATTTCAAAGTAGCTGACTAAGACATAATGGTGTTGCAAAGCAGCCCTCATTTGCCTTTTGAACTGATGTTGTGCTCAGCAGGGAATCAAGTTCAAGCACTCTGCCACTAAGACATGCCCCAGCTGCAGGATCTTAAACTTGCTTTGAAGGGTAAGATCTCTTCCAATTCTTCCTCTCAGCTGCTCCTAATAGAATTGAAGGAATTTTTCCAAGTTTGTGCTTTGAAGTCTTCATTTCACTAACAATCTATGCAAGGTTGGATATTCACTACAATTTATTTGATTTCCACAAATAAAATTGAGGAAACAATTAGATCAGATGAATAGATGACTACCTACAATGCAGTTGCAAAATGGAGCTCCTCCAGCATTTGCTGGTGTTTAGGAATTACTGGGTTTTTAAAATTATTTATTTCATAGATTAAAGTGAGATTAACAAACAAAAATTAATAGTAATATAATTAAAATATGTATAATTAACATGAAAGAGGGAAAAATAAAAAGGTAAAAGCATATAGGATATAGTATTAATAATTAGCTTTTATTTGCTTTGTTAGGATTACGGTTGTTTTTAAAGTTTTGAAGAATTTTATGAGAAGGGATGAAGAAAAAAAAGTTTGAGGACATTCTTAGAAGGGACTAAAGATCAAAATTGTTAATAGAATAGAATAGATAGAATATAATTTTTTTATTGGCCAAGTGTGATTGGACACACAAGGAATTTGTCTTGGTGCATATGTTCTCAGTGTACATAAAAGTAAAGATACGTTCATCAAGAATTATAAGGTACAACACTTAATGATAGCCATAGGGTACAAATAAGCAATCAGGAACAATATCAATAATAGTTAATAGTTAAAAGAAAGAATATAAAGTTGGTTGATTTGATCAAGGTTAAAATATGTATAGTGTTATTTCTGGTAACCCTTAATGGACTTTTGCTGACCAGAACCAAATGATGAGACTTTAAGGATTTGTTTATAGATAGGACATGGTAAAATGAGATCATTTGTTGTATAAGAGGTGGTAAGTTACTAAAATTGTTTAATACTTATTGTAATGAAGGGGAAATAATTTATTTATATATTTCTTTTCTTACTATATTTGTATAATTTATTTATTTTCTATTTTTTCTGCACTTTCTATTTCCTTACTTCCTTGGTATCCACAAGGGAGGGGACTTTTCATGGATTATTACTATTTTGTGGATTTCCTTAACACCCAATGTTTGTATTTTCAAATTTAGTGTCATTACTTTGTTTTTCCCCAGTCTATTTTTCTAATTGATTCTCAAAGTTTTTCATTGTATTAAATCAGTCATTTTCAACCTGTGGTCCATTAGAGGGGGAGAATGCAATGTTGTCACAGGGGGTCTGCAAAGGCTTGAAGAAATGTTATGATTTAAATCTTGAGTTACATTTTGGTGGTCTGTGGCCACAAAATATATTTAAAGGGGGTCCATGGTGACGAAAAGGATGAGAACCACTGTTTTAAATTATACATTATTGATCATGACTTTAAATCAGTGTTTCTCACCTTAGCAACTTTAAAATGCAAGAACTTCAAATCCAAGAATTCCCCAGTCATCATCTTAAAGTCCACACATCTTAAAGTTGGTCAAGGTTGAGAAACACTGATTTAAATGTATAGATTTTAATTGTGTTATTTACTATTTTTGTTAATTCTGGGTACCTTTTAGTAGAAATTGAGATTAAAACACTGCAAATAAATAAATTTAAATCAATATCAATTCTTTTATACAAATTGACTTTGCCCTGTAGGTGAAAAAATCTACCTTCTCTCTCTACTTTGCAAGAACAATATATCAATATGCAGTTAATAAAAAGTTAGATCAATTTTTTTGCCTTGAGGAAGTATCACTTGATGAGTGTTGGCTACTGCTTCCCACACAGAAAATAGCCTGTTTTGTTCCGTTTCATCTTGTTCTTGTTCTTCATCCTGGATCTCATCATCCATTTCATTTAGTTCTTCAAGGGTAATCCTATCCATATTAACACCTCAGCTTCTGCAAAAAAAACCAATCATACAAATTGTATTCTCTGAATTGTTCGTGATAGCAAAGCAATGGTTTCAGATCATTTGTAGAGAAAACACAGTATGGAGGGCATCTTCCTGCTTGCTTGTGAGATTTGTAGGTACTATAAAAGTATTGGAACATGGAGATTAATACAGAAATACTTTTCAAAAATGAAAGAGAAACTAGTATAAACGTCAAATAGCAAAAAGCTAAGGTGCATAGGCTAAATGAATGTTTTCAAAATCTTAGAAACCCAGACAGCCTTCTACTCAATCTTCTTGTTAAATCTAAACCCAAAACAAAAGATATGTGCCTTTTAGGTGCCTTCTAGGTGCCATGCTGTACAATTATTTATAAATGATTTGAGACAAAAATATATTATCTTATTTGCATAGCTAGAATAATGATCTTTGAAGATAACTTAAAAGTTCTGGAGGTTCAATCAGAGATGGTATTCAGCAGGTTCTGACCAGTTCTGGAGAACCGGTAACAGAAATTTTAAGTAGTTCAGAGAACCAGTAAAAACCACCTCTAACTGGCCCCACCCCCATCTATTCTCTGCCTCCAGAGTCCCAGCTGATTGGGAGGAAATGGGGATTTTGCAGTAACCTTCCCCTGGAGTGGGGTGGGAATGGAGATTTTATAGTATCCTTTCCCCACCACGCCCACCAAGCCACGCCCACCAAGCCATGCCATGTCCAGAACCGGTAGTAAAAATTTTTTGAATCCCATCACTGGATCCCATGTATTATTATATTTCTGTGGGACCTGTTTTGTTTTATTTATGTTTTTTATAAGACTATTTTAGTCTGGATTATCTGATTTATTGTTTTATGTTTTTATGGATTTTCCAGTTTTGTATGAACCCAGAATCAATTGGAATTGGGCAGTTAATAAATTGAGATGGATGGATGAATGGGCGGATGGACGGACAATCAATCCTGGTGGGAAATGGTTGGGACACTGGGTAAATTTAGACTGGAAAAGACAAGTGTAGAGACATGATACAGTAATTGTTTTTAAGTGTCTGAGGTGCTATAAGACTGAACAGAATTGCTCGAGTTGTGAATGAGTTGTTTCAGAAGCCAGACAAGAAACAGTGAGTTAAAATTTGGCTGGCTATAGGAAAAATCCTTCTCACAGGTCCTGCTGCTAAGAATAACAGAATAACAGAGTTGGAAGGGACCTTGGAGGTCATCTAGTCCAACCCCCTGCTCAAGCAGGAGACTCTATATCATTCCAGACAAATGGCTCAGTCTCTTTTTAAAAGCCTCCAGTGATGGAGCACCCACAACTTCTGAAGGCAAGCTGTTCCAGTGATTAATTGTTCTCATGGTTAGGACATTTCTCCTTAGTTCTAGGTGGCTTCTCTCCTTGATTAGTTTCCATCCATTGTTTCTTGCCTTGCTTTCTGAAGCTATGGAATATAGGTTGACCCCCTCTTCTTTGTGGCAGCCCCTCAAATTTACTGTGCTGATTTTGATTAATTATTTTTGATTAGATTATTATTTCTTATGCTTTGGAAAATCAAGTTATAGACTTCTCATTAGACTACTACAATTTTAGATTATGCTCCAGTGACTCTAACTATAATAGCAATAGCAGCAATAGCACTTAGACTTATATATCGCTTCATGGTTCTCTCTAAGCAGTTTACAGAGTCAGCATATTGCCTCCAAAATCTGGTCCTTATTTTACCGACCTTGGAAGGATGGAAGGCTGAGTTAACCTTGAGCCGGTGAGACTCAAACTGTAGAACTGCTGAAAGCAGAATTAGCCTGCATTCTAACTATTGCACCACCAATTTAACAATTATAAATTAGCCAATTCTAGATGACAATACATATTTGAATATTTCTTACCAAAGAGATTTTCTTTTTGTGAAATATATTAAGAAGGAAATCTGTTCTTTCCTTGAAATAACTCAGGACTCTACTAATACATTAACTCTCTGGGATGCATTTAAGATAACCATTATGAATTCTATAATTGCTTTTGCCTCAGCAAAAGAGAAGCTAAGAGTCTGTAATTTTATATAGTTACAGAAGGTGGTTAAAGATCCACATTTATTAATACCACTAATGAATCATATCAAGCATTTACAGCAGCAAAGCCTAAATTGGAGCTTCAACACAGAATAATTTGAATACTTTGAAAAATGTTAATCAGAAAATATTGGAAATCAGTAATGAAAGCTAAAAAAGTTATTAGATTGTCATCTGAAACACACACGGAATTCAGGCTAATGACGGGCAGTTATTTACTAAGACAGAATCTCGGTTTTATGATTTTTATATTCAGTTAATGAAGGACTCCTGTAACTGAATTATTAATCTTCTGATATCACATAAAAAGGTCACTGACATGAGAGAGACAATGCAGTTTATGAAACTAGTCAAGCCCAAAGAACCAAGAAGTATACAAGGAGTTACTTCCAATAATTTTATTCATTGTTGTTCATCTGTAGTTAGAAATCTTGCCAGACTAAGGCACTTATTTGCATAACTACCACATATATCCTGTGAACAGCTAGAGGAAGTCTGTCTTTGTTCATTCTGCGTACCAAAGATTCCAACTTCTTTGTCTCTATGCTAATAATCCCTCCTATGATTCTGGCCTTTATTCCACCATAGGCACAGAATTTTTACTGACTTATTAGCACCCATATTGTTAGAAATGCACAATCATTTAATCTTTAAATTTTCTTTTTTTTAATTTCATGAAGCTTTATATTATAATTATATTAAAGCCTCACAAAAATCTCACAATATGCACAAGCTGTAGACTTTGTGCTGTCTTCTGTTACTATGGGTGCAAAAGTATTAACTGCGATAATAGCCAGGAAGCCAGGAAGCTACAGTACAAAAAATAATACTATCTATAATTCAGTATTTCAATCTGGATTTGTTAAATAGACAAACATTTGACCGTATCTACCTGGTGACTAATGTTATGGCTATTACATAAGAATATTACATCTAATTAATATATCTTGTATGAGGGATTCAAATTATAATTCCTATTTGATAATTAAATAAAACAAAAAATAAAAATATCTGAAAATAGTTTATTTCCCACATTTATTTTGAAGTAATATTGTTTTACTTTTTAATTGTACTGCATGCATGGGCATTTATATAAAATTAAGTGAACATGAATATGCAAATACTCTTAAGAAGCAAGCACCATTAACTTGCTCACTATTTATTTTCATTTTGCTTGTGAGAGGAAAGGCTGCTGCAAAATGGTCAGCATCCTGGGCTGCTGGTGCCCTGTCCCTTTAAGACCTCTCTCTAGCCAAGCCAGCAACCGGCAGATATAAAAGCTGAGCAGAGAGAGGGAGCTGGGAATGGTGGTTTATGTTACTGTGAGAAATTAAAACAGCCTGAAGCAGCCTAAGGCAAATGGAAGAGTGACTGTTTGCAAGAAGTAGGACTCACAAAGAGTAGTACAGGTAATCCTTATGACCACAATTTCCATTGCTAAGCAAGATAATTGTTAAGTGAATTTTGCCACAATTTACGACATTTCTTGCAACATTTTTTAAGTGAATCACTGAAGTTGTTGTTAGTCATGCAGTGGTTAAATGAATCTGAGTTACTGCAACTATCATAAATACACGCCAGTTGCCAAGGGTCAATTGCCAATTTTGATCATGTGACCATGAGGATGCAGCAATGGTTGTAAGTGTGCAAAATGGTCATAAATCACTTTTTTCAATGCTGGTCTAATTTTTAATGGCCATTAAATGAATGGCTGTAAGTTGAAGACTACCTGTGGTAGAGGAACAGGAACTGTAGAATTGGGGAAGAGCAATATAGTAAATAATGAGTACTAGCCTTTGAGTATTTGTAGGTATGTTGTCTGAAGGCCAGGTGTGCTTGTGTTGGCCCTCTGGGGTTTTGGAGTCCACTAACCTGAGTGTACATAAAAGAAGCAGTAACATTTATTTTTTATTTTTCATTTCATAAGAGGGAAACTCACAATATATGAACAAATAACTTATTTACTGATAAATTATACATCTGTACTCTTTCTAAAAAAGGTAAACATAAAGGTTCCCCCTTGCACATATGTGCTAGTTGTTCCCGACTCTAAGGGGCGGTGCTCATCTCTGTTTCAAAGCCGAAGAGCCAGCGCTGTCCGAAGATGTCTCTGTGGTCATGTGGCCAGCATGATTAAATGCCAAAGGTGCATGGAACGCTCTTACCTTCCCAACGAAGGTGGCCCCTATTTTTCTATTTGCATTTTTTATGTGCTTTCGAACTGCTAGGTTGGCAGAAGCTGGGACAAGTAATGGGAGTTCACCCTGTTACATGGCACTAGGGATTCGAACCGCTGAACTGCCGACCTTTCGATCGACACCTACAGTATACTGAATATCGAACACACGCATGTTTCTGAATTTCAGTTGGTCAACTTCCTAAGTAAGTATGTCCTGAATTCCAGCCTTAACTGTTTTAGAATATTTTACATATGTGTACATAATAAGAAATATCTACCTTAGATATTCAACATATACAACAACTTCATATAACACTTGCTAATTCTGTAATGGCTTTTAATCTAAAATCAAAACTTCTATCTGTGTATGTTTGTATGTATTGTATATGTTTTCTAAAAAAATGCATACAAGTTGGAGATAATATTGTACTTTTTAAATATAATCAATCAATACATAAACCAGCAATATTCATGAACTGGTTAGGAATTAAAAAAAAACTTTTCATTGGATCTGGTCCAACTAACTCTTGCCACACAAATGCTAGCTAGATTTCTCTGACAAGTTGAACTGACATGAAGTCAACAGCTATGACAAATTGTTGTACCATATAAATAATTTTCAGAGAAAAGTTGCATTTGATTCTGAAGTTGTATTTACTCATCCTGAGTACTAAATAATGTACATTATTTTAAACTCAGAATTATTACAGCCTGTGTACAATTGCTACTATCCTGCTGTTCACTTCCTTTGGGAAAAATGTATTGCCAATTCATGTCAATAGGCTCAACTTTAGCAAAGATCTTTGAAGAACCTTTTTTGAAATTTCCTATTTCATGTTACTTTGTAATTTCCTATCCTACTGACCTAAGAAGAAACTTTTTGTTGTTGATAATTTCAAAATGAATTGTTTAAAAATATTTTTATATAAGCAAAATGTTTTGGAAAATTGGGAAAACCTTCAAAAATTCTAACAGTGAAATAGATATCATTGTTATATATGATTCTTTCTGTATAATAAACTATTATTTATAATTATAATTAAAAATGCATCTGTGAATTTTTAATTATAACTTACCAACTATCAATTTACCTTTTACAGTTTTTTTTTATGCACCCCTTAGAAGTTACTGCAGGTGGGCCTGCTTTATTCAACTTTGTAGCATTTCCTCCTCCTCCTTATACACTCTAGATCAGAGGGGTCAGACATAGGTAAATGCTGTAACTAAGCTTCAAACTTTCTCCCATATTGTTCATTTAAAAAAAAAAAACACCACACATTTTTAATGCTCCATGAAGCCTAGATTTCTATTTCAAGTTAAGAGGGGGAGTGAAATCTCAAATAGCAGGAACCGAGACTCCTTTATGGAATAAAGAATCTATTTCATTGACACTTGGGAATCCTATGGCGATATCGCGCAAGATTTTTTAAAAAATACCTTTTTAGGTAAACTTTAGCTATGAATATGGTGAAGACGCAAAAAAGACTTGTAAAAAACCGACACACTGTGTGTAATTGAAGATGTTTTTATGTACTTTTGTTTAAAAATAAAAATGATTTTTTTCAAAAAAAATTTAAAAAAATACCTTTTTCCTTCTAGCCGGTTACCTCCTGTGCAACAGGTAAATTTCAACAGGTAAAGGGGGCTAGAGCAGGTTGAGTAACGGGGAAAGCTGCGCCTGGGTGACTTTGCTCCTGCCGAAAGCGAGGTGTCGGTAAGCTTTTCTTTTAAGCCACAGCTCCTCGACGGAGGCGACAAGACGGTCCGCTCCGACAAGCGGGGCTGGAACGGCAGAGGCACAAGCACCTTTAATCGCGGGGCAGGGAGGGGCAAAGAAGGGGGAAAATTGGCGAAACACCGGTCGACACCCCCCTCCCCCCCCCCCAAGAGGGCAGAGCCAGGCGCGGGCACGGCGAGACACCGACACGGAGGCGAGAAAAAAGCCAATCACTCTAAAAAGCGCCTGGGGAATGGAGTGGAGGTGGGGGGGGGCAGGGGCACCCGTATGTCGGGCGCTGAGGGAATCCATCTCGGGACTAGGGTTACTATCGACTAGGGACGGGAACTTGACATCAGGCCCCGCCCCGGCTCCGCCCAGAGTGGGAGCGAGCCCAGCGCCAAAGGGGAGAGAGGGGACGGGGTCCGCGTTCCACTCCTCTCTATTGGGGGGGGGCTAGAGAAAGGAGGAGGAAAAGAGGGTTACCTGGCACTTCCGGTACCTTTTCCGACCCGGAATGGATTCCGCCTCCTCAGACGGGGGGTTGAGTGGGGGTGGGGGGAAGGGGCGGGAGACCAAGCAGAAGAGGCTCGGAAAGGGATGACGTCACGCCCGGGTGGATTGAAGTTGGGGCCTTCCGCCGGTTCTCCTTGTTTCGGTCGGCGGGGCTAGTGGTGGTTCCGATTGAAGCCTCCCAGGGCAGGGGCCAGCTGGAGCGATAGGAAGGGTCGACCCAGAAGGGCAGCCCTTTTAGTTTCTTGAATCAAAACCGACGAAGAATTTAAGGAATTAACTGGAACGCAAGAGTGTTCTAGGTTTCTCTTGGATTACAGGACAGTGTTTTCAAGTAAGCATAGAATCTAAACTATAAAGTTCAGGGGAAAAGCAGAGCAGTGTGCTTTTTTTTTTTTTTAAAGGATAATCTGGTATAATTCCCAGAAAGTGCTTTTCGGTACTTCAAAACAAGCAGTAAAATCAAATCCTCCATAATAGGATTTTGGTCACCAAAACTTCACCCCTATTTTACAAAAATGTTAATAACTACTTAGATTTTGGTGCTTTCCGTATTCTCTATTTTATTGTAACCGGATAAAAAATTCAGTTGACACACCTGATTGGTATCTAATTGTTAAACAGTAATTGCCTAACCTCATTTTTTATTTAGTTGTAGGGAGTTTTCTTAATCACAACTTGGCAAAATACTGTAAAGCAATACTGTAACTGCATATGGTAGTACTCTTCGGCAGTAGGCAAGGCCTAAAGTTCTGGCAGAAACCATATCTGTAATTTGCATTAGCATCACGGCCACATTTTAAAATTGGTTAATTTAACCTATGTCTGGATTGCAAGAATCCAGTTAACTGCTAGATGGCACAAAGTGATGGAGAAAACTAACTCATTGCTGCTACCTACTAGTCATTTACACTTTTATGATTTGGATAAGCTAGATTTAGCCAGGGTGAGATTATTTTTATATATTCAACAATGTGAAATCACAGCTGCATGTTCTTTAGCTAGTAGACATAGGCATTACGTTCTTCCCAAGAAGTTAAGATGCTGTAATATATCAACTTAGTATATGTGCAGATCAACCAGCATGGCCTTTTGTAATTGACAGATGGAAAGTTTGTCAATGCACAGATTTTCTAAGTGTAGTCCAAGTTCTTTTGATATGGCACCCAGTGAATAACTACTATACAATAACTACTAGGATCATTGCAGCTGGTTTATGTCATTGACTTTCAACTTCATTCTTCAGATGTTTTGTGATCTTGATACTTTGTGATCTTGTCCAATTCTTTGTCTTCTACTATTCCCTGGTATTGCTACATCAACTATACACACTTACTTCTTTTCAACAACAGTTAAATCTGGTGTTACGTACCAAGATTTAATCAGTTTGTATTTAGAAGTTCCACAGAATTTTAATCTACTCATTTTTGACAAGTTTTTCGACTCTGCCTTCCCAATTATTCATTACTACCGTGTTTCCCCGAAAATAAGACCGTCTTAAAATTTTTGAACCTGGAAATAAGCGCTTGATTTTCGGGGAGGTCTTATTATTTTGGGGTGCATGGAGGAAACCAGAGGAAATGGCAGGGACCAGCTGCGCATACATTTAAATATTTTTGGGGAGGGCTTATTTTAGTGCATGTGCTCAAAAGCCCGATTGGGCTTATTATCAGGGGATATCTTATTTTAGGGGAAACAGGGTAGCAGATAATTTTTATAGCTGTACCAGTGAATCATTTTGGCAAGTTATTTATAATCAGTTTGTGTAATCATCTTGCATTAGCTGAGTATATGACTACTATTTCATTTGCTTCTTTGAACAATCTACATTTTGAATCATTTGATGATTTTTAAGTTTTGGCTTTGATTGCATTAGTCAAATAGCTGGCTCTTTAGCAGCCAAAATCAAGCTGCCTTTTTTTTATATGTAATCTTTCAGTGGTAAGTCATTGTAGGATTTTAACTTTATCCATTTTTCCCTTTGATTTTTTTGTAGAAATTGACATATAATGCTTTTACTTGCCAGCAATTTATTCATATTTTTATTACGTTATTTCAGTATTTATGTTTTGTTTCCTGCACATTCAGTAAGTTCCAATTTTTAACTTACATCAGTGCTTGTTCTTAGGTGTTTTGATATAATCAGCCAATGCACGTGTTTCTTCTTCAACAGTTTGACTTGAAGTAAACTTCTACTTCCATTTCTGCGTAGAAAATATAATCTATCAATATCACTATGGAGATATAATGCATAGTGAATAGTCATTTGCTTTCTTGTTTTTCAGTCCAAATTATCCAACTCGGCTAATGTCCAATTGATAATTCCAGCAGGGTATCATATACAGGTACGGCCCAGGTATTAATGGCATTGATAGTGCTTCCACTATTCAGTTTTATCTTTAGCAATTTTCTCACGCTTTGGATGTATTGTTTACTAATCAGATTTTTAATTTGTCCATCCTTGATGTTATCCAACTGCAGAAAGCCCTAAAGAAGCTTTAAAATGTTGGCTTCCGATAGTTCAAAATGTTCATTTGGCATTTAAATTCTATTACTATTCATGTTTTTACCCTGACTTATTACTTTTGTAGCACCTATCTCTACAACAAATTCCATTGCTATATCTGTGCTAAAAATTCTTATAGTATTTGTCAATGACCAGATTTCAATTTCTGGTTCTCCATAAAGCTTCAGATTATCATTATTATTATATATGCAAAAATATGAAATCATGGCTGCTCATTCTTTAACTGATACTGGCTTTCATTTGCATCGAGTTCTTCCCCAGGACCTAAGGTATCATACTCTTTTAGTGTAATATATACAGAATATCTGTAATTGTCTGTAATTGACAGATAATTTTTTTGTCAATGCAGAGTTATTATTATGGCTGGTCACAGTCATATGTGTTGTTGTTATTATCATTTGATTTTTATCTCACCTTTTAAATATGCATTTTGATCAAATCAAGGCAGCAAACATGCCTCGTAAGCCTGCATCCTGTTTTCCCCACAACAACATTCCTATGAGATCGGTTGTGCTGAGAGTGTGCTGGCCAAAAGTCACCCCTCATAGAGGTAATAATTATGGCTTGTGTTCAACAGGGCATATGTTTATTCGTGCTCTTCTCCTTAAGAAAATGGTAAAGTGCCTCCACTTTTCTGTGTTACAATTATGACAGTTTTTGTGTGCTCAGTACTGCTCTTTCTCTTGTTCTCTTGTCATAGTTGTTATTCAGTGAAGATAGACAAATGAAATGAACTGGAAACATCTGGCAAGTTTGTTTCTTGTGATCATTACTTGTGATCATTTTATTAAATTAAAACAACAATCAGAAGTGAATCAAGGGTAACGTATATCCATTGCTTTGTACTACCATTGTTCATTTGAAGACAGACACAACTAATGAGTCAAGATGCAGACAGGCTTGTAGAAAGGAGAGTGAACATATACTTAACCTCTGTAGAATCTACGTGCCTCTTCATACTTCGACTTTATCCCTTATACCAAGTAATTTCCCACAAAACTGAACTAGCCAACTTCCTGCCTGCTTCGAAATTCAGGAGCAACTATTCTGATTTGGAAAGGTATTCATCATAAAAGGCTGCAGGATGAAGATAAGGGTCGTTAGAGTGCAAACATAAATTCAACTAAATCCTATCAAAGTCAAGCCTAGAGGTAGGCACTGAAGGAATAAGTCAGGCATGAGAATCCAGCTGGAGATGTACTTCTCCCCAGCAGTACTGTGTAGTGGAAATGTAGCTCTTCTTAAGGGAGAGCGATGTCTTTGCACTTCAGAGAGCCAATACTTCATGTAAGAGCCCTTGGAGCACATTCTGTGCAATCATCAAAACACAACTTGGAAAGTGCATTCAGCCAGGGTGCAAAGTCCATGACAAATTACTGAAGAGCGCTTCCTTATCTCATCTGGCAGTGGCTCCACATTAGTTAGTACCATCCAGGGTGAGAGCTCTTATCAACACATAGCTACTCATCAACATGAGAAAATGGTAACTTGTGAAAAGGTTGCAACTGAAATATCCAAATAATAAGAGAAGCTGGTAATATCTGAGATGGCAACAGGGTAGACTCAGTTAGAGGTGTGAGAGGAAAGATCCACACTGCTTGCACTGAAGCCTCTACTCTCAGCTCGAAGATGCTGAGAACCCTGAAAAACAAATTTTTATGAATTTGAATCTGTCAATCTGCACAAGTCTGTTTCCCAGAGTGCATTAAAAATGATCTAGTGCATGGTCAAATTTATATCTAGAAAAGTATATTAGACTCTAAATCCTGTATTTCACAAAAATGGTAAAAGAAAAAAAATCCTTGCTTCACAATGTCATATCATCCCGAATCATCACTCATTTTATGCAACATAATCCTAGGTGGCTGTCAGCAGTAAAAACAAGAAAAAAATGGTAGGAAAAAAAAACCAAACCTAAAACCTCCCAGTGTCCCCAACCACAATGCATTTCCACATATCCACAAGGCATGTTTCTGGGTCCAGCCTCACATATTTGGAGAAAAACCCAAATCTTTAAGATTTTTCAGAAAGTTGGGGGAGTAGGGGTGGTCCATTAGATCTCAGGAAAGGGTGTTCCAAAGGACAGGGATGGCTATAAAGAAGGCACATTGCCTAAATCCCCCTACATGGTAACCTTTAAGGGAAAGGACTTGGAGCACAGCTACTCTAGTGGGAGGTGGCCTTGTATCATTCAGGGCTTTAAAAATGATGATCGGCAATCTGAATTGCACTGAAAAGAAACAGCAGGGATTTAACATCCATGAAGCAACGTTTCTGAATGTTCTTCAAGAGTAGCCCCATGTAAACCATGTTGCAATAAACTAGAAAGGATTGAAAAAATTTGAACAAAAGATACAAATCTTTGAGACAAGTTCCTTTCTCTTTCTCTGTCTTATGCATCTATACTTAATTCCCTGTTTTATTTTACGTATATCTCTAATATTATGCCATATCCTTGCATAATCCAGAAAAAATAGCTCTTTTGAGGAGGAGGATGGCAGTTTTTCAA